TATATATATATATATATATATATATATATATATATATATATATATATATATATATATTGTAAAACTATAGGTTTATGGCTACCACCTGGCAATTGTAGCCAAATAAATATTATTATTATTATTATTATTATTATTATTATTATTATTCATTACTCCCTCCTACTCCTTTCACAAGTAACAAAATGAGAGCGTAAGAAAACTTGCACAGTTTGCAGTAGAATTTTGAATGAATTATGTGTCTCCTTTCATTTACTTGAGTAATAGGTGACTAGGATTCCTTCTGCATGATTAAATTTTGGAGATAGAAATACATTTTTGACGACATTTTTTGTTCCCTAATTTTGTTTAAGCTATGAGCTATGAGCTATGGCTTCCGTTCCTTTTTGGCTCCAAAATCATACATTACTTGTGCTTTATTTGATTCAGAAAAAAATGGCACAACTATTTACGTCATTTTCTCGGAAAAAATATATATGGCTCGTGCACAAGAAAGAACACACATTTCAAAAAGCTACCTTTTTCTTCAGTAAAGAATTTTGTTTTTGAAACAAACCTACTTTTACTTAATAAGAACATGAGGACAGTTTACAAGAGAGCCTGAATAAAATCAGGCTCCTTGGTCTTTCAGGTCGAAACGAACGATCCTGCCTAGGATCAAACAATTCTCCTGCAAAATGTTTGATCCTTTTCTTGTGTACTAACGACGTGTGCTTTACAAAACATGTATTTAAAAACGCGTGTCTAGGAAAATATTGTGTATGTAAGATTTTTTCGTAATTGTCTTTATTTTGACTTTTGTCATTTTGTAATTACTTCTCTTTGAATATAATGTCTCAAAAATTCCGTTTTTGAAAAATGTTCCAAAAAACTCGTACATGTACACGATCATGTATACAGGTACACCTTCAGATCCGGTGCACACAATCGTGTACATGTATTTTGAAAATATTTTCATTGCTATTATATAGAAAAATATTTTTGTGACTTATTATAGCCAATTTTGATTCTTTGATATCTTTGCATTTTAATGTTAGTACCATTCACCGGGATATAAAAGTCGCAACCAAAATAAACATCAATCAAAGTGAGCAATGCAAAAAATGTCAGATTGGAGTGGTGTGATTGTGATTGCATTGGTGAATCTGTTGTGCTTCAGAAGGAGGAGGAGCACGACGCGTGCAGCCTGGCCAGTCACTGCCCGACTTGCGCTCCGAATGGGATCCCGACAGCGGCGACTCGACCGACTCGCTCATAGACGAGGCGGAAGAGTACCTCCGGCGCTCCATTGACTCGATTCTGACCGGCGCGGACGTGGGGCGAGTGGGGCGGCGACGTCAGCTGCGGCGCTATTCAGAGCCCGATCCTATAAGAGGTAAGGGAATTGTCTCATTCTCTCAATTCCTGACAAGTTAGTCGAAGAAGGGACCCAAATGATAGCGGCAGTTGTTCAGTCACCCCTCTTCAACACAACTCTCGCCTTTAACTGGCTACCGCTGTGTGCAGAATATCCCCCAAAGCGTTCCATCTACGTTATTCTGCGCCGACTAACGTTTTATCCATTCTCGCCTTTAAATTGTCTTTGCATATGGCATCCCTAAATCTTTCTTTTCCTTCAACTTGTGTATTTAATTCTCCACTCTTGCTTTCTCTTCGCAGAATATCTATTTATTCATGTTACGATTTCTGTTCTAATTTTGCCTCTATATTTTCCCATCTTCGTGTTAATGTTTAAGTTCCTTTCATTATTTAAAAAAAACATTTTATACATCCTGCCAATAGCTCATTAGTATCTCCTCCTTGTCACTTTCCTTTTTAAAAACACAAATATTTTTACATATGTTTGACCTTTTGAGATGATCAAGAAAGGCTCATCTCAGTTGTTACTGTCCCAAGCCAATTCAAATTAAAAAAAAAAACAACAATCAAATAAATGTATTTTTTTATACTTACAGGTGTCAGAAAGATAATTTACTTAAAAAACATTTACATGCAGAAACAAATAAGTACCCTTATTGAGTTAGAAAATAAAAATAAACAATTTGAACTGATTTTTTTATTTATTTATTTTATTTACGTCAAAAACATTTAAAAACTGCGTTTGACGTTCTACGGGGAAAAGTGAATTTTGTGCACGTTTTCATAATTCTGTAATCCCTACCCTAAGCCCTCGTATTAGTTAAATTTTGAATATAGAAAGAAAAAAAAGAGTTTTTTGCAAGGAGTGCTAACAAAATATTCGCTCCTATGTAATAAATTTTATTTTCAAGGGTAAATCAGCTATACATTTGCGCTCTTGCCCCCATCACGCCTTTCGTGAAGCAATAACTGTATATGTATGTATGTATGTATGTAATATATATATATATATATATATATATATATATATATATATATATATATATCGGAATGTCCTTGTGTGTGTTGCAGAACTTACCCCACCGCAGTCTGCGCAGCCCTTCCTGCCCAAAGTGCCCCGAGACCTCAAGCTCGATTATTTCGTGAAGGTGATCACAGCAGAGGGCCGAGTGATGGTGGGCCGCGTCCGCTATGTGGGGGCGGTGCCCGGGCGCAGTGACCCGCATGTTGGAGTGGAGCTACCCAAAGCAGCTGGCGACTCAGATGGCTCATATCAAGGCAGGCGTTTCTTTGATTGGTTAGTCTCCATTCATTGCTTTTAATTTTTGTATTAATCTCAGATAGATTCAGTTTCACAGAAATACTTGTTTCAAAAATGGATTATCAAAATTCTTAGCCGGCGTCGTTAGTGGAATTGCTTAACTACACTCCGTGAATTGAGCACGGTAAGCAATTCGAGACATCGCGGATCCCTACATGTGGACGTTCGGGAACTCCTGTCACTAACAGCGGCGAGCCCCTAGGCCGAGGGAATAAAAGCTCGATAACTCTAGGGACGACCTGTGCTTTTACGTCGCACATTCGGCTGATCTCCATTTCCAAACTCTTGTATTTAAGACGTTTCTGTGCCTCCCTGGTTACGATCGCACGGCACAGCAACATCAAGTCAGTGGCGGATCCAGGGGGCGGCATGAGGGCCATGTACCTGTCCCCAAATGCTTAGTTAGCGTTTGTTGCCTTCTTTCATTTGACCAAATTTAAATATTTATTTATGTTATAATTGTGTAATTATTTTTAACTCGTGCTCCTACTACAGCACATATTTTCTCGCAATATTATGTTATCGCTATTTACAACGGTACGCCCATAATGCTTCACTAATTTCCACCAGAAATTACGCACAAACTACTTTTACAAAAAAATTGTACATGACCTTTATTAAAGAGCTAATCAGGTACAACAGACTTTGTGGCAAAAATCTCTATCTTCAATTTTGTAGTTTTAAAACTTATTTTTTGTAATTTTCAAAAAACCCACATTTTTCGATAATGCGACTAGCACCATATTTTTTACTGCCCATTATTACATAAGTGAAGAAAATTTAAAGAAAAAATGGAACGGTTTTTGAGACAAAATTGCGATAATTTCAAGCCAAATTACGCAAAAACTACTAATTTTTAAAAAATATTGTACACCTTTTTCAATGAGCTAATTTTGTACATAATACTTTGTCTAAGACAAACATTTCTATCTTCAATTTTTTAGTTTAAATTTCTGTTTTTTCAATTTTGAAAACTCGGGGATATCACCGAAAATGAGATCTGCGCCACTCTTACATGTACTTTGCCCTCTTCAACAACAAAATTTAATCAAAAGAATTTGGAGACATATTTTTGAACATTTTGAGAATGTCCAGGGTGCTTCAAGTAAAATACCCCAAAAAATGAAAATATCCGTTTTAAAGTCCAGCTGCCGCGACATCCGCGAGAACGATTGAGGAACATCAATTTTGGAGAAAATCGGCTGAACGGTTTACGCGCTAGCGTTGTGCTCGGCCGGACGTTTTACCTTCATTCGATTTTTCGTTATGAAGGACGCACAAAACATGGATTCTGGCTACACCACGTGTTAGAGGATTTTGATTCTATAGTTAGCAACTGGATTTATCCACTTTTCGTTACCAGGGCTCGGCAATAAGAGTTTTTGTGTCGAAAATTCCTTGTTTTCCGACAGTCGATTACAAAACTTTTTCTTACGTTAGTAAGAGCGAGAGAGTAAAAATATATTCTATAATATCATATGCACCATTAAAATAATATCCAATATAACAAATATGTTTATTAGTTAACACAAATCTATGATGCTCCCCCCTCCCCAAATAAAAGATCGGCTTGATCCAAGTAGACACGTTTTTCTCCAAATCCCCGATAACGAAGTGCGGTTTGTTTGCCACTATCATGCAATCAGTTTGAATTTGTTGGTCGGAACTTCATGCAGATGTCATTGCTAATATCATAGACGACAGACAGCATTTGGGAGAGAATTACTGCGTTGTTAGCAAACACTTTAAGTCCATCCATGTAAAACAAATGTAATACTCGTACTGGTCTTTCAACACCTCGGAGATTGTAACCAAAGTCAGTGTGCGACAACTGTCTAGATCAGTGTCCAGTCATTATAGGCTTTTAGTTCTAAAAAAAGGTATCAAGGAGTTTCTTTTTTTAAATCGCTTTATTTCGTTGTTTTAAACATTAAAAACAGACAACAATAGCGGCCCGTCCAAAACAAAATGAAGGTCAAAGGTAACAAAAATCAGTTATTTTCAAACGTCTCGTTTTCTAGAGGTCAGAGGTTAATTGAGGTGATTACAAAAAAGAACGTTTATATAATAATTATCGCCAAAGGTGGTTATATTCATTTTTGCGACAAACCATTTTAACGCAAACAAGCGGCGAAGTTTCCGTACAAGGCCTATGCTCCATTCCATATACCTTGTACAAATAATATGTGAATGTGAATCCTTTCCATTCAACTGTCAATAGTTGATTCTTCTCTAGGTGTCTGTACTTTTTGTTAGCTATGGCTGCATTTATATCTTTGTACATTATTGGCAGACAAGTGATTGGCATGTAGGTTTTCGCCAAAGAACTCTCTCGTTTTGGGTAGCAAATAAGTGATGCCGAGTGTGAGCCATTCCAAAAGTTCCTTTAAGTTTTCTAAAATTTTATGAACTGTCTTTGCTAGATGAGAATGTAATGCTGTTAATTTTTAATCCAAATATTTTTGATCTTATCAATCCCGGAGGATTTCCAGTTTTCCTTGTTTTTATTTGCTAGGAAAAGTTCATCTTCCGAGAATCAGCATCAACTTCAGATTGATGCCAAGATACTTTCTTTGAAGATAAGTCTTTGTTGTAGAATGTGCATTCTTCCCAGATTCTGTCCAAAACGTTTCGACATTACCTATTGAAGAAGGGCAGCATTGCCATTCGGTTTTTGAGTCGGATTCCGATAGAATCTCTTCGCTTCTGTTTCAAACAACTTTTTGTGTACACGGAAATCTACTCTACGTTTGTAATGTCTTATTCGTTGCTTCGATTTTCTCTTTTAGCTTCTCAGCTACCGTTCGCCTTGTGTCACTTTCAATTTTTCATTTTTTTTTCAAGTAAGCCTTGTGTCATTTTTCCGAGTATTTTTCGTTGCTCTCTAGAGATGTGCGTTGACTTCAAAGATGCCTCAGCCAAGAGTGATATTTTACGCCAAGAGTCGACTATCCGTTTCGTAATTATTTTTACCCATGGAGCTAAGGAGCTGTTTACTCATTTTGGCTGTTAGCCGTCGGTGTTCTTGGTTGGCCCCAAAAATTATCTGAGATGCCAGAGGCACTGTTGCATACACGATGTGGTTGATTTCAGTAATATATAGATCTCTATCTGGGGTATATACCACCTCATTTAAGACAGAGTTCACTATCTCTATCACTCTCCTAGCTTTGGCAATTTCGTATATTTTCCTCAGTGGTGCACCAGATTCGAATGGAAGTAGACGAACTCGTTCTACTTCGCGTTGAAACAGATTCCGTATCATGTGATTCGTAACCAGATGAATTTTCAACAAAGCTCCAACAGGACCATCGTTTTCAGGGATATTATGTGAGTTCGTCATGTAGATAGTTCCATCGAAATACATACTCTGCATTTCCCTCAATTTCAGAAACTTCTTCTGTAAATTTTCCACTACTGAGTATGAATAGTCGTTGAGTTGCAAGCTTCTTTGAATCTAGAGTAGCTCTCATATCTGGGTTCTGATCTCTCCATATCTTGAGAACTTCAATATATGAGCTCCAATTTTTTGGTTTTGCACAGTGAACACACATCACCTCATTGAATTCATCTCGTGTCCATCTCTAACGATTGCTTCGAGCTACTGCCGGCTCTGGGTCCCTGGGACCAACGTCCGTGGGATAGTCAGACGTCGACAATGTGACATTAGCTCGGTTCCTGAGGAGGTATGAGACATTGGTAGAAAAATGCGAGTTAAGATTTATTTCATTTATTGTACTACCCATTTTGCTCATTGGTTTTAAGTGAGGTTTTGCAGGAAGCAAGTTCGAGTTCACAGATCACAGTTAGCCCGTGGGTTATTTCCTGTTATCCGTTATTGCGACCCACAGTGGCCTAGGCAAATCCCCCCGCAGGATCCAGCAAGGGGTCCTTCCGATCGCTAGTCGGCATTACTAAACCCTACTAAACCCTGGGATTTTCACTGGGCTCGTGGCTAGCTCTTGGTCAGCGTGTTCGCTCGGTTTCGGTCCCGGCCGGCGTTTTCCTTGCAATGTCTCAGTGTATGTTGCTGTGTGACGATGAGAAAATTCACTTCTTAGGTTGAAAAGACCGGAATACTGCGTGGGGATCTACGTGCTAACCACACGTATCTCCTTAACCCTCTACGTGCTAACCACACGTATCTCCTTAACCCACGGCCACGAGGCAGAGACGTCGCCGGTAGACCTGAGCCCGTTCGCGAGCTGTCGCGCCAAGTACATACATGTATGCATACATACGAGATTTCCACTAACTGCTGAAGTCAGCCTCCTTTACTGGCTAATGCATGGTTCGGGCCTGCACTTTAATTAGTGGCCTGGTGTGCCACCTCAATGTTCCCTCCATGAGAAGATAACAGGAAGCCCAAAGGTTCCTGTCGCTTCTCCCTCTACTTACTTCCCGCTGTCGATGCAGCCGCTTCTAACGTGGAGGTAGGCGCTGCAGCTGCCCACTGCGGATCAGATGCTGCGGCTTTATTCGGGGTGCCTCTCCCGCCACCTTCATTAGTTTCTCTTTTCTTCATCGAAGATGCCGTTGAGGCTCTCCTCTGGAATACTTCTTCGTCTGACCGCTCACCTTCAACCTATTCAGCAAGGGAGGCTCTATCAGTAGCTAAGCTACTGCCGACATTCGTTCTCAAGCTGATGGGGGTACTTCAAGCTCCACCACAAATTACAAGGTCATGCACTTCCTAGGTGGAGTTGTTGTGGTTGTTGTTGTTGTTGTTTTTATTAAAATTTCTAGCTGAAATATCTCGCGTTGCCCGGGTATTTATCGTAATATCACAGCACTTGGAGTGAAATTTAGTGTGACTCTCATGAATTAAGACATTACATGAATTGTATGGATAATTAATATCACAGGAATTACAGAAAGGAAAAATATTACTCCAACTTGCCAACAGAATACTATGTGAAACTTTCATTCATCTGAGTTATCACTCCTCCTGGAATACCTTACAATCAAGTTAAATATGAATAACAGTTTAATGCATAAAATGATTTCAAACGTTTTGATTTTATTGTAATAAAACTTTCAAAAAATAATTAGAACAAGAACATTTATTAAAAACACGATAATTAAGTAGTGGGAAGTTCACTTTCCCATGTCTTGGTGGAAATGGAAGATGTTAAAGATGAATTAGCAGCGGGATTTGTGAATTTCGAATAGATGGAAGAAATGTGTGTACTTATTAAAGTATTTTCCTCAATAATTTTAGTTGCAACGTTCCACATAATTTTGATAACTTTTTGTTTATACTCTTCACCATTTAATCTCTGCATATTAATTGCCTAAAATGTGTGCAATTCCTTCATTTGCAGTCTGTGCTGTCCATTTGTATTTTCTTTCTTCTCGAAATCTCCGAAATTGCTTCACACACTTTCTGTTTCTTTTTCTGTTTTTCGGCACTGAATTTTGAATAAGATTCTACTTCAGTTTTAAACATTACTAAAACGTCACATTTTAATATTATATTGATGCTCACAAGCTATTATGGACCTAAAACAATTGCTATTTTTATCTTAAACAGGTAAAGTGAATACAGTGGAGTGCAAAAGGTAAACAAAGTGATAATCATATGTTAATAAACATCTGGGATTGGTTTAATTTGAATATATTCTTCTTTAGCATTTGTTACTTATGACAAGCAAACATGAGTGAAATAGTCATAATAATGAATTAGACAGGAAGAGGAATTCCCTTTATTCCCATTCTGTGGCAGGGCCTACTTCTATCTATTCTGCTGTATCCCCTCCTCTCTCTGCCCCACCTCTCTCTGCCTTGCTGCCATCTGGTAATAGTAATACCCAGTCTTCCTCACTCACTTTCTCACTAAAAAAATATTTATATTTTTTCTTATTGCAGTTCTCACCCTCAAACTTCACTCACCTTATAAAAAATAAATAAAAAAATTAAGCTAAAAAATAAAATACATGTAATGACTCTTTTTTTCTTTCTTCCTTTCTTTTTTGTAATTTTATATACTATTATACCAATACTGTCAATCAATTTCCTAATAAATCTTACTCTTTTTTAAATTATTTTCTTCTCCCCTATTTAGAAAGAAACTCTTGAAATTGGTCTTAAAAGCCATACCAAGTCAATTGACATTTAAATATAATTAAAGTGCTTTTATTTGAATATGTGTACACATTTTAGGGTCCTTGATGAATAGTGGCTGACTGTAAGCTGCTATAAACCACTTGGACAATTATAATATCTCCAAAAATTTGAGATTATAGTGGATCTCGGCTTGACAAAAGTTTTTCTATAATCTAAAATAACCTCTTTTGTTATATTTTCAACAGCCTTGAAAACCAACATCGACACACATTCAGTTACTTCCAATATGCATTTCTCTTTTATTTCTATTGTACTTCATTATACCAAACTTTCAGCCATTTAAAAAATAATAATTCCTTCACCACCCAAAGGTATGCTTTCACCGTCCTTTATAAAAAAACACTTCCATACAAAAGTTAATCGATCAGTCACAGTTTCAGCATTAATCGTAAATCATTCATAATAAGTTTGATCAGGATATTTTGAACTCAAATAATAAAACAAAAGCAATGTGGAGTATAGTAAAACATTTGACCTAATCAACTAGAAGCCTTCCAGAAAATGTTGTTTTAAAAGATAACAATAGAAATATGAACGTTCCAGCAACCTCTGTAACCAATACTTTTCGAGAATTGCTCCGATCTCACTAAGGGTCTTCAACCACGAATGTACATTCCTACCTGAGATACGGCATAATATTCTCAGGAAATACATCTTATATTTCCGAGACTTTTAGATTACAAAAAAGAATTACACAAACAATAAGCAAATCTCACCCACGTGATCCTTGAAAGCCTTTCTTTATTAATCTAGGTATCTTACCATTACCTGGTCTCTTCATATATGAATCAGTGGTTTTTGTTAAAAATGACTTACTTAAGGGCAGGAATACATTTTCAACTAATGCTGATACCAATAACTACAACACTCGACATAGTAATCATAATCGTCAGGTGACAGTATCAACAGCTCACTACAAAAAATTCACGCACAATACAATTTTTTTACAACACCATGCCAGATGACATTACATGATTAAATTAAATACAGAAGTTTAAGTTCCAAGTAAAATCTTTTCTGCTGCACAACTGTTTCTAAACAATTACACTATAGACTATACCAAACATCCAAAAGGAAAGTAATATTAATTTTAACAATATCTAGTGCATTATTTACCATTTGGATTGTATAATTCTAAAGAACTTGTAACAAATATTGTACTTTTGCTTCGGGTTCTATGACCCCCATCTCAATCAGGCTTTTGTACAGTTTCCCTGATTCTTGAGCAAAGTCTGAGATGACCACTAGTTTTGCTTCTGGGCATAAATGTAACTTCAAATTAACTTCTCCACATAGCACATCACCCACAGTTTTTAACTGTTTTGACATAAATAAATAAAGTTTTACTTTTGCACATGCAATTCTCAAATACATATTAATTATGCTTAATTTACAACTAACTAAACTTACTAATTAAATCAATAACTATTTCATGCAGAACCAGGGCCATTTTAACAGCTTTGGGGGCTCTTGGGCCTATGTTAATTTAGGGGGGGTGGGGCAGCTCTTGCTTTTTCTTTTTAAAGACAAGTTTTGTTAAAACAACAACTAAACTTCTCACCACTGAGTGACATTCGTGCATCAACCAGCAGCATTCCATATTATAAGTGTTATATAATGATGCATGACACTGTGGTACGTCAATATTTTGCATATAGCTTAATCGTAGATCACTTTTTTTTAAAATTAAGTATAAAATAATGTTTAAAAAGTATTGGGGTCTTCGAACATTGGGGGCCCTGAGCCCGTCAGGCCCATGCATTAACATAGGTCTGGCAGAACACTTGTGTGCATTCATACCTTCTTATGACAACATCAAACACATTCAGCAGTAAAATTACTTTTCCTATAGTATCATATATCTTGTATACTTAATATATTAATGCCTAGATGAAATTAATATCAATATTGAAGATACTTTTGTAAATAGAGTGAAGGATAGCTGTAATAATCATTCTTAAATATGAACATTTCTGATTAGACAATTCAATGTAAAAATGAACAGTCCTCTCCTATCCTAAAGATATGCGATTTTGTGCATTGATTAACTCTGTCGTAAATCTCAGCCTCTGGTAGCTTGCAGCTAAACAATTACACTCATGAATCTATGATGTAATGCTAGGTGAAAAAAAACAACACAAAAGTAATTGTTTTGTTAATATATTAAGATTTTTGGTTGAAAATCATAACCTACAGTATTCCTGACCTCTAAAGGAAGCTAGCACAAAAGTTTTGTCATTATTAGTTCAGTATATTCAGAGATTTTCACACATTGAAACTCAAAGCACTTGTCGTTTTATATATTAGTAGAAATTAACTTTTCTAGACATGATTTATTTTCAGAGAAGCCTCTAATTGTGTTTTGTATTGAGAACTATGCAAATCTATTAAATTTTTTTGTAATCCATTAATAAAATTCTGTTTCAGTGATCCTGATTATGCATTGTTTGTTCCCTTCAAGAAGGTAGTTATGGCATGGAGTGTCTGAACTTTTGAAGACCTCCATATATACAACATGAAGTCCTTCAAAAATGTGAAGGTGTATGAGGTCACTCAGTTTGAGCTGATATTTATTTCTCTCACTCCCAAAACTACCACTGCCCCTTTGGTGTACAATCAGCATAGCTTTATTATGTGTTCCTTAAGAAGGTGTATGCTATGTTCAAATTTCCAAATGCAATGCATGTGTGTTTTGTTTGTGTGAAATGTTGAGTCCTCTTATATACATTAAATGACAAAAATATACTTGTGACAATGTACCTGTGTCTTTTTGTGCATTCCACTTTTCTCTATTTGACAGTTCTTGGAATTTGAAATTAGAGACTAAGAAGAGTGTACCCATAATGTTGCTGTGATGCCTAAACATTTCTGTGATATTCCAGAAAGAGACCTCACAATAGTTAGCATTCCACAGTAGATAGCCTGGTATGTGTTGGAAATTTCATGATAAGAATTTTCCCTGGCCTGATTCTTGGATCTGTCAAATGCTGAGTGAATTGGAGTAATTTATTCATTTGAATTAACTGAATGAAAATTCTATACAATTATATGCCATTTTTAAAAGGAAGAAATTTAATTAAACAACTACAATAAAATTGAAAACTACGAAACATCATTTATATTTACAGAAGACATTCTGTGGAGACAATTGGCCTACATGATGAATCTTTATTGTGCAATTAAATACTACCTAAAAATAGTGAAGTCTCAATAATAAAAGTTTTGGAAGTTCCTTGTTTTAAATCAAGTCTAAATTGTCATTAAAAATGCATAGAAATAATTGATCATTACAGTTACTATGTATTTGTGTTTACTGATATAAAATTGCCTAAATTATTCAGATCCTTATCTTTTGTTCACAATATCTGGAAGTGTTTAGTTTTAAATATAAATGTCATAATGAGTAATCTCAAAGATACTCTTATCACTTTTTTAAATGCAAATCAGATTTGTTCTAGTTGATCTTCCAATCAAAACAAACTTTGCTCAATGACATGACATAACTTGTGCCACTTGTAAATCTTATTGTGAATATACTGAAAAGGAACAAATGATTATTTGAAAAAAAGTAGATCGAAGCATAAATAAGAGTTTCTATAATTTTAATTTTTTTTACTAATATTATTCTTACATCACATTTCTCCCAAAAAAGAAATAGTTACGTTCTAAATGGAGTAGAAATATCTTGTGTAAACTATATTGATTTTAATAATCTAATGAATTGTGATTCTTCATTTTACCATAATCACATCATTGGCAAATATTACAAAATATAGCTGCTTCAAAAGAAAATCACAACTAAAAAATTTCAATTTTTTGCTTGTGCTATTAAAATACAATAAACAAGTCTAATTGAGATGGTTGAATGAGGAATAATGTTAAATTTTGCTGTTGTTATGAAGCACTTGTGTATTTTTCTAACTTCAAAGGTCTCTTGGAAGAAAGAAAAAAAGGTTTTTTGACTTCAGAAGTTTAGTTTCAAAAGCAGCAATATCATGTTTTAAAAATTGCCCCTTGCTATCACAGTGAACTTATATAATAATTTGAGCTATCTGTATTCAATGAGAAGTAGATATCTATGACTTACTGCTCTTCCATTTCCAAATAGAGTTGTATTGAGTTCTCTAAACTGTCAACATAGTAATGCATAAAAGAAGTGTCAGAATTAAACTACTGAAATTTTGTTGTAAAAATCAAACGAGTTTGGAATGAAATTCATTACCAACTCTCAACCCTCAATACCCCTTATTACACCCCCACTGTTATGATTTTTTTTTTTTTTTTTATATATATACAAGGACTAAATATGTACAGATATCATGAGAACAAAATGTTATGTGGTGTCTACTGTCAATGATTTAGGAAAATCTGATAAACAAACAAACAAACAAACAAAGCCCTTAAAATCTATTTTAAATCATATTGAAATTTATTTGCATGTGTTTGCGCATGGTAAATCAGTGAAAGAATAATCTTATAAACAATTATCAAAATATATATAAGGACTATAGAGAATAGGAAAGATAATAGATTTTATATAAATAAACATTATTTAACTCCGAAAATATTAATTGTTAAGTGGATTAAGTATTGCTTTTGGTAAAATGAAGAAACACCTACTTCATTTAATAAATACTTATCCAGTTATTTATGTGTTTGTATGATTTGTAATTGTCATGATTTACTCACATTGCTTGCTACAAGTTGACTACTGTCTTCAGAACTGCACATGATAGAGAAGAGGGACAGGAAATTTGAGATTTCAGGGAAATTGTCTTCTTTTGTGAATTGTTTTGTACATACAAGATAAACATTTTTTTAAAACCCCTCGTTTAATATTTTACGAATATTAATTTTGCTTTTCTCTTTCAGCCAATAGAAAAAAAAAAACAGAAAATATTATGTTAATATACATATCAAAAATAGTTTATTAGCTCTCATTTTTCTATAAACTTATTCCTTTCTTAGTATATTCTTGTTAATTCTTTATTTTGATTCCTCTGCCTTCATTATCTTCAAAAAATTAATTTGTTAGTATACAAATAGATGGACCAAGCACTAATAGGTGCTGTTAATAATTCAAAGACCGAAACTTCAGCTAGTACCAAAGAAAGGATTTGAATAAGCTCATGTGCAATAAATATCCATACCAAAGGGGTAACAGAGTGCCAACAAGCTTGAATGTGTAGTAGGAAACAGTACTGTAGTAATGTTTTTATAAATAGTTGAGTTGTAATCATTTTGTTTTCTTTAGAAATGGAACAAAAGATAATAATGTTACTTTTTATTTTAATTTTATTTTCAGGTTCTACTTCTACAAAATGTTACTCCCCACATCTGTGGGTGCTCTTATCTGGTGTGAATGTTTCATCACTTTTCTGTGGTGTACAGTCAATTCATTGAATTTGTGAAATACAATAAGCTTGATATGTGTATAATACTCTATGTACTGTATGTATATATGTATACATGATATTCTAGTTACCTGTTACACTTGTTGAGAATATGTATTTTTATTTTATTTACTTTCTTTTTAACCAGTCAGTGTGTAGAGTCAGTTTTAATGGATGCAAAGCATCTATATGAAACTGACATGACTGCGAGATTTGATATGATGGAATGAATGAATGGTTGGAAACATTACTGAAGGAATGGTATATAAGTTTGATACAATGTTAGAAATGGAGGGGAATATCACTGAGAGGGACCAGCAAACTGTTTTAAATTTTGCAGTTGTTTCAGTTTCCCTCCTATCACTGAACAGACATTCAACGTTAGGCTTTAAAATCAGAATCAGGACTTTTATGCAATCAATTTGCTATGACAAGTGACTTTTAAACAATGAACTTTATTACAGAGTTCCTAAGTTTATTACTACTAACTCTTGTGATGGTTTTCTAACAAATATTTGTGGTGAAATCATGGCTACAGACTATGTATTTCATTTTTGTGAAAGCACATGTATATAAAGAAATGCCAAAGGATAGACAATTTTTGTGCAGTAATTTTTAACCAGCATATAAGTAACATATACATGAGCTTTTCAGTAAAATGACCATTGCATTGCTTATTTGTCGATCTCAGTTGAAACAGGATACAAACATTTTATTGAAAATATGGCAAATTTGCCTGAGACTTAGACAAGGACTTAAATATAGATTATAGTTCATTGTAGACTAAGAGAAAAGAATGTATTGTAGATTTATGAACATTTTCTTGGTTTTTTGTACGGGTGATTATAAATGCATTTGAAAGTTTCTAAGAAAAAGGTCAAGTTTATTAAATAAGTAATTTATGATTTCATCCTAATTGTATGTTTTCCTGCTTGTTGCATTAATAGAAGAGCTTTGACATGGACATCAACTTATTGGTGAAATTCTTAACCTGCTTTTGTTATTTAGCAGGTTAAAACATTTAAAATATCTTATTTAAGTTATTTTACAATATTTTCTGTATCTACTTCTCTTGTCTGCCCAATCTTTCAATGGCATGCCTACCACCTCAAGTTCTTGAATCCACCTGAGTAAATTGTAAAATTATATTTATGCAATTATTCTTCATTATTGAAGACTTGCCTAACATAAATTACATTATCTTTTATATTATACAGCAATCTTGACCATTTTTCTGCTGTCCAAACTCCTCTATTTATTTAATGTACATTGTTGTATTTATAGATCAGTTGTTGCCATGAAGGAGAGTGACCTGGTGTGAATCTATGAGCTCTCTGAATGCAAACAGATGGCTTGAGTGCATATGCCATTCATTTATTGAATATTTCTTTAAGATTTTTGTTAATTGTTAAATCAATTTGTTTAATAGACCTTTTTCAATGATTTGTATCGTACCACATAATAGTTGTCTTCAGAGGTGTTGATGTTCAGATGGATGCTATGTAGTCGTTAATTGCAAGATGCTTTCGTCTACCATACCAGACAATGTTATCTCATCTGTTTAAAAAAAATAATTAGCATTTCTGGATTTACTTGTATCACAATTTTTTTTGCTTTATATTTCTTTATTATGATTATTAAATTATTAGTTATTTATTTTACTGACTTTTTGGTGAAAGAATGTAAAAATGTTTTCTTCCAATTTTTTACAATTATTACTTTAAATTTTTTGTGGTTTCTACCTCAGATTTTATTTTGATTTATAGAAATACACATAGTGAATAAAATAATAAATTCATCCTTAATATTTTTATATTTATTTCTAACTTTTTATAATACTTTTAATTGGCACTGTGTAGAAAATAGCTGGCTAGTGACACTGTAAACAGATTTTCTATTACCTTCAGATTTGTTTCTTTTTATTTATTACTTTTTCTCTTTGGATGTTCCACTGAGGTCGTCACAGATGTCTTTTCAAACTTCTGTGTTTTTATTTGGTGGACAGTACTGAATGCTTACAATGTTTGTATTTATTTTTGTAATCTAATAATACATATATGTAAGGTAATTGTGCAGCAAAATTGGAGCTGTAAGTGAACAGGAAAAAACAAAATGTATTTACATTCGTATATACTTATTTTCAATATTTTGCCCCAGAAATATATGCATAGGTGTCAGTTGTCGTTGCACAACAAATCACAAGAAATATTTATAAAACACTTCTATGTTGCATATAGCTATTCAAAAATTATTCTCATTCAGAAGATCTACTGTACTCGTCACCATATACTTCTCAGCCATGTCACTTAAAAATGTCAACTGTAACCCTGACGTATTATACAAAATATGTATTAATCATAAAATATATGTATATAAATATTACAAGGTTGTTTGTTTTATTTCTATTTTCTAAATGTATACAGAAGTTAATATTTAATATTTTTGTGTTGTGGGGATGTTTATGTTTATGGAGAAGGAAAAAGGTATTATATTATCTGTTTCTGAGTTGTGAAGATTAGGAGAACAAGAGGATTTTATTGAAATAAATCATTAGACTAGTGATTCCCTTTTGATTTGCCCTCTGTAGATATAAATGAAAAGTTAGAGTTGTTTTGAATACTGCTTTGAAGAAACTAAAGATATTGTAATGAGAGTTGAAACTTTTTAGATGTTATTTTAGTCCTAGACTTGTGAAACATCAGATAATGCTTGACAATAACTTTTAATTTTTGTTTCATCAGTCTTTTTTTATTTGTTGTTATTTGTAATTGGATCATTAAACAACAAAGCAAGTATTTTGTTATTGACAATTTAAAACAATTATTAATAATAATTAAACAATTAATAATAAACATTTGTGACAATTATCTTAAAATAATGCTTCAAATTTCACCTATTTTTGTCAATAAAAAACAACAGTCAGTAAGGCTCAGGGAAAAACTGATTACTATTTTCAGAAGCAATTCTCAGCATTTACTCAATAATCACTACAAAATTAGATGAAAACTAATTGTGTTTAATGCTCTACACCCTTAAACTGGAGAATATTGAAAGGATGCATGAGATGTAGGTGATGTTCTGATCCTAAATTGCCTATAAAATTTGAATGTAATACAATTTAATTATCATAATTAAACAAATATTTTCTAATTTTTCTTCTTATTTTGTAATAATTCTACTGATTGTAAAAATTAACATCATATTTAATTTCTTAACACACAAAACATTCAATTTTTTGCAATTCTTCACTGAGATAATATTATTTCAAACTGTTATTTTTCTAACTTCCTTTTAAGATGAAAGATCACTAATCACACCCATAAAAATCTATAATTAAGTAATTAAAAGTATTTAAAAAAGTAGAAAATTCATGATCAAAAGCAAGTATACTCTTTTCGTCTAATTTCTGAAGAATGCCAAATGTGACTGACTACAAGATAGAAATGACTGTACAAAATATAAAATGGGATTCAACAATTAAAATGAGAAATTCAAAATTGTTTTGAAACCATAGTACATTTGCAACAAGTCTTACATTGACAAATTCTCTACAGATTTTCAACAATGTGAAAGAACTTAATTAAGAACTGTAAATATTGATATATTAATAACAAAAGAACAATGACCCTACTTTGCATGCAAAATGCAACACAATGCAAAATAAAGACCCTACTTTCTAACAAAATGAAATTGCAGTGATTATAAAAATATACTTGGGAATTATTAGTAAATATTTTTATTAAAGGTAATTAAACAGGACAATCAGAAAGATGATTCTTGTACATTATTTGAATAATATTGTGTAATGTCTTTACTATGACTGATTAATTTATTCCAATAATTTTCTTGAATTTCAGACAAATCTGAACATTTGTTTGGTTATTGGTTGATTATTTTGAGTTTGAAAATGCAAACATTTGCAAAATTCATATAATCAGTATCTGTGCTGCCTTATCAAAAAGGGAAATATAACAGTTCCTCTTTTCATGTGAAAGAGCATTAACTCCTATTGCATACAAACTTCCCTTGAAATTTCGAAAACGATTTTCTGCAACATAACTCAACATTCTCTATACTAAGTTTATTATTTCTCCTAGAAAAGTTCCCAAAATTAAAAAATTATGCCGTTCTTAAACAACATGGAATCATATTAAATGAAATGCGCACCTCTTGGACTAGGTTACTTCATTAGTTCTGCAAAAAAGAATTATGCCGTCTTCCAAGTGACCTAGCGGTTCGGCAAAACACTCGTTAGGAGTACAAATTTATAGAGCCCTCCTTCCCCAGTAGGCCTATGGCTCTGAAGACCATGCACAGAAAAAAAGTTCTTGAAATTTGTCAAAAAAAGCGAGAGATAAGAAGAAAACGGACCATTTTGCAAAATTCAAGAATTTGAAGGGAAATATGAACGTTCATTTAGCCAGCACTATGTACCATGGAAAACTTCAACAACAATGTGATGTCAAAAACCACAACAATAAAGACAATCATGAGCAAACAATAAAACTACAAC